AATTTTCCCATAGTTCTACTCCACGGGCATTTCTCGGAACGGTTGATATTGTGTACGCCCGCCTGGAAGGATTTCAGGCGCGTAGTTAAGATAAGGCGGTTCTCCGCGGCAAAAGAAAGCAATTTCACAAAAGCTTAAAAGCGGCGGCGACGCGTGTGCGGTGAACGCTTGTAGTTTTGGTGTAGACAGGGTGTGTGTGTTCTCGTTGTTGACACCAGCCGGCGATAAGGCACTGCAGGCGGTAGCTCAGTACAGCAAGGGCTAATCCGAGTGACCATCAACGTAACCCCACCGCCAACCCCTCGCGAACCGGTCGCCGACATGGCTCAGGCTGTGTCATGAACCACGTGGTAGAAGCTCGGGTGCTTTCATATCAGCGCGTGGAGGGACGACAGTGCGATTCCGGAAAGTCTTTTTCGAAGGCCGCTGACCACAATTTTTTGTCTGGAGACTTTCCCTCTTTCTTCCTTTGACGTGGATCAAGCTTTGCCGACAGCCTCAGTTGTGACCTCTCTTTTCAAATGTACGTTTGCAGTGAGTGAGCTCCTCAGCCTCGGACTTGTCACTTGTGCACCCAGTAGTTCTTTCACTTGGCAATTATATGCCATCAGTTGGGGTTTAATTTCTATTATTTATGTATACATTATGAAGGCGTCCTGGAGCTCCGAACGAGTGTTTTGTGCAGATTACTTTTGCAAACACAAAAAGACTATACCAAAGCAGCGGAATTTTCGAAGTGTTGGCGAGTTGGACCTAAACTCGTTGAAGCAAATTCTTCCGCCTGACTGTTCCACCAAAGTGAGTGCGACGGACTACCTGAGCTACCATTGCTTCATGCACATCACTAAGGAGATCTCGATGCGAAGCTCAGAGCAGTGCCCTGACATATTTGTGCCAGCTGAAGAAGCAATTGAAGATCTAAATCGCAGCATACTACCTACAGATGTGTCGCCGCTGAGACAACCAAGCGTTGTAAGAAGTCGGGACAGGCCTGCCTATGTCAAGAGAAAGCAGACAGAACTGGAGCAGGTTGCTGTCAAGAATATACGCTCAAGGCTACGTATTGCGTACGACAGGGACGCACCATCGGGGTCGTCCGAACCAACATGCTCCACATGCACTGAGTGGGTGGACAACTTTCGGCAGGCCTTTGGAACCGCCACCTCTCTCCGGGAACGTTGTCAACTGCTTACACTCCTGCCGTCAACACTGACGAAGAATGAGGTTCAAAAGATGATTCCACAGGCCTCAATGTACCTCATCAGTAAATCCCGAAAACTCAAGGAAAAGCATGGCGTGTGGTATGAGCCGGATCCTTACACGAGGTGCAAGGTGAGCCCTGAGAACCTGTCTGCTGCCCTAGAGTACTTCACGAAAGACGAGCTACAATGTTCGCGCCAAAGTCCCAACCAGAAGGACGTCATCTCTGTCATGCTCAACGGAGAGAAAACGTTCGTGCCAAAGCGCTTCATGACACGCTCAATACGAGAGGCCTTCCGTATATACAAAGACAAGCATCCCGATTCCGGCGTTGGGCTAACGAAATTTTATTCGTTGCGCCCTAGATGGGTCCAATGTATTCCACACCAGGAAGTGTGCGTTTGTGTGCGCTGCGCCAATTATTATCTTTGTATTGCCGCTCTAGAGAACGTTACAAGCTCAACATTCAACACTGGTGAAATGAACTCGGCATTTCTGTGCGACCCAGCAACAGAACTGTGCCTTCAAGGAGACTGTGATCACTGCCCAAAAGGCCAGTTTCTTACCACTCCAGGAACTTGATATCCCGGAGGATGAAGAGATTGTGCTTGCAACATGGGAGTCCGGCGACCTTGTGAAAAAAACTTTGGAACCTGAGACTTTCCTAAAAGTCATCCAAGTGACGGTTGGAAGTTGGGTACTTCACAACCATATCCGGCAAACGCAAGGTAAAGCGATCTACGATGAAAAACAGTGCATGCAACGCGGGAGCATTGTCTTTCATTTTGACTTTGCTGAAAACTGGACCATCGTGCTTCCTGACGAAGTGCAAGCATATCACTGGAAAAAAAAAAAACAAAGTTTCGATATTTACATGTGTAGTGACGACAAGAAAATCTACAAACAGCTTTGCCATCATCAGTGAGGACCTGTGTCACGACGCCGCTCACGCTTGCTTGGCTCTATAAAAAGTGAAGGAGTGGGTTGAAGACAACGTTGCGGTATACTCGTACGTGACGTACGTAAGTGACGGCGCCGCCAGTCATTTCAAGAATCGCTACCAGCTTCACCAATTTGCAAAGGACGATTGCCCACAAGCCCAGTGGTTATTTTCTGCATCTGGACATGGGAAAAATGCATGTGACGGAGTTGGCGGACTCGTGAAGCACCAGGCCACGCTGAACAACCTGAGAGAACGTTCAGTAAGCGCAATTCAGACGGCCAGGACAATGGTGAGCGTTTTATCAAAGAAACTGAAAGGCGTGCATCTTGTATATCTGGACGAAAATGAGGTTGTTCGGTATCGTGAACAAAAAAAAGAAGAGTGGCTGACGGTGCGCGCCTTCCCTGGCATTCAGTCTTGGCACGCGTGGCGGCTCAGCAAGTCATCAACAGAAGGGACCTGTGACGTATATGTAGCACGGACAGTCGGATCTGCTTGGAAGCAACTTTATTAAATGGGTACAGCCAGGAAAACCTTAGCGTAAAGTGCCGAATTTGATTTCCCAAGGACTGCTCATTTTGAATGCAGGGACATCTTATTTATCACATTTTTCTTCACGGGGTATTTAACTTACTGTTTTTGTTGGTGGTTACTAATAATTTTTATCTGATCACTATAAAAAAAATCCCAAAATGTTATCCTCGAGCAGGATAAAATATATCGGCTTGCCACGATTCATTCATACACCGAGAGCATCGAAGCTGCTCCAGTTAGGCACTATGGCATCCGTCACCTGAAATTGTTTGTAATCGTAAATACACAGCCAACCTAAATATCTTACTATTATATCTTTGTTTTTGTGTGTGGAAGTAAAGTTATTTATTTTACTCTAGATGTAAAATATACCGGAAGGTACAACTTCACACTGCATCATCTTTTCTCAAATCATTAGTCTCTAATATGATACCACTTTGTACGCTTATGTAAAATGCTGTATATAGTTTCTCCTCCCTTTTACTGCGTGACCGATCGCTCTTTTTATCAATGACCTCATCTGAATAAATGTATATAAAAGATTTGTGCAAGTTTCATGAAACTGGAACTCAGAGTCACTTCTTGTATAGGACACTGCTAAGTGTAGGCTTTGAAAAAGGACCCTACTTTGGGGAGTTGTTTCTTCTTTCACAGTGCAATGATGCAACATGTTTTTAATAGAAATGAATGCCGAAATAGAGTATAACAGGGTACCCAAATTTAAAAAAAATCGAAGGTAATGTTTTTTTTTATTCGCATTGGAATTTTTCTTTGTTTGATTTGTTTCCCATGTTTGCCTAAATATATTGTAACTATTGTGTCACTCAGATACCTTATTTATTTTTTTCAATAATAGCCATATATTAGTAAAATAATGCCTGCAAGTTATGTAATAATGATTAAATTATTTCATGAGATACAGATTTCCAAAGTTTGCCGTTTGTCGTTCGAGCAGGCATGTTTGGCAATTTTTAGAAAACTAAATAAATTTTTAATAAATATTATTACTTTATATGACAAGCAAGTTGTACCCATAGTTTGTTTGTAAAAAGTTGTAAAATTCTCCTAATTTTATTGTTTTAATTATTCACTTTCAAACTTGCCCCCTCCATCAGTGCGCGTTATTGCAACTGTCCACCTCTCCCTGCCTTACGATTTTTCTTGTCTCCAAATTTTTTTTCTGGTCAAAACTAAGTGTGGATTCGTTTATACCAGACACTAGACAATGTCATATAAAAACATCAGTTGATTTAAAAATGTCGACCAGCCACCCTTTGGTCGATCTTATCTGAAATCACCCGACTATAGAACGCTTTGCCCCAGAGAGTTACAAATGGGTACACTTGCTACAATGATTAAGCATCTTTTTTCTTTTTTGCTTTATTTTTATGCCGTGATAGCCGTTGACTGGTGCATTGATTGCTGTCACGTGGGTTACCTTACCCTTTACTTTGCTCGTTCGTGTCTTCCACCTCCCCTGGATGCGAAGTGGCGGCTTAGAGTCTGTCCAAATACAATAGGTATAATACGAGTCAACTTAACTGTCTCGTGATAATCCAGTTCTTCGAAATCGCGTCATACGAGTCCCTCTTCTGCAGTCTCAACACAAATCGTGTTGAGATTCCAGACGTGTAGGCTGCATTTACCTTCCCCTATGAATGGAAACGCGACCTGCACATTTCTCACTGTTTCATCATAAAACATCCGTTTGTTGTTGTTCTTTGTTTTGTTTTTTGCTGGGGGCGGTAATCCTGAAAAGAGATAGAACGTCACGTGACCAGGTGGCGTAATGCTCTGTAAGTGGCATCACTTGACGTGACGAACACGATAAACCACGCCCGGAGTTTCATAGGCCGCTTGACACTACAGAGAGAGTATTGAGTACTTTGAAACGAGCGTGTTCACCCGTGAGCGATATGAAGGTGAACAGCCCTCTTCTTGTTTGTGACGCTTCTGCAAGTTTTGGAACAAGCTCTGTTCCAGAAGAGGGCTAGAGCGCAAAGTTTAGACCCCCAAGTCACGTACCATTTGAGACGTTGAGAGTTAATATAGCTTTAGGGAGCCGTAAAACAGACAAGAAACCAGGTAAGGTGTTTACCTTCATGTTGCCGGCGGGTGTACTGTCTGTTAAAAATTTTCGGCTCACACGAGTTTGGTGGGAGGGGGAGCCTACGTGCCAACGCGCGGCGATTACGTCATGGGCAAGTGCGGTGGCGTTGCTGTAGGCTCTGCTCACGCAATACTGGTTTCTGCGCATGCGCAGTTCCCACCACTGTGTGAATCTATACGGGTTCTCGTTGCTGGGTGGGGGGATCCTGCTCAGATCCAGGCCATCTGCACGGAGCACCACGCGGACATCTGCCTGAGCAAGGACGCCAAGAAGTGGGCGTCCGCCTTCATGAAGGACTGCCGCACCCTCAGGGACGCCAACAAGGAACTCAACAGGATACTCGGCCAGATCGCCAAGGGAGAGAAGGCGAGTGTGCACGCCCCGCTGAAACTCCCCCGCCGCATGAAAAGAAAGGGTTATACACTCGGTCTCACTGAAAGTCCGAGCACAGCTGTCGCTATTACCCGATGGAGCCAATGAATCAGCGTCGAAATCGCGAGTCACTGGGCCTTCTTTTTCTGTTTATGATTGGTTCAGCAATGGTAGACTATGCACGCACAGAAACGTGACAAATATGGTGATGATGCACTTTTGACGCTGTCTTCTCGGTTACATCGGCTAGTAGCGTCGGCTACGCCTGGACTTTGGGTGAAACGAGATATTGTCGGGTACAGCAGACGCACAAAGGCGATGACTTTGGTCGGACGTTTATTAAGGTGAAACGGAGTCTTAAAGGAGCTATGCAACAATTTTTGTACTTTGCGCAAATACCGCTTAAAACGGATCCCTAACGTTAATGACCTATGAAACACGCGTTCGTTTTTCACTTCACGCAATAGAAGTCCCAAAAAAAAATTTAAGAAAAACGAGCAGCGTTCACCCCCTCAACTCGCAGCCAGAACAACCGGCCACGCGATCTGGAGCCGATTATATGCCGCCAATGTTGATCATAGCCACGCGCTGGGGTTGGCAAAGCCCAGGACACGCGCTGAGTTTTAGGCATTGTTATGGCTCGGCTATTGTCGTCGTTGCAGCGATTGGACGCGGGCGACTACCCGAATGCCTTTCGAGCTAGTAATTATCACGAGCCCAAATCGAGTGCCCACGCAGGGCTGGGGTCCAATCTATAAACCGCATTCAAATATCGTCACTTGGGTGTTCTGCGATCTCCACGTTACGTCATCAAATTTTGCAAAGGAGAGATTGAACGAAAAAAATTGCCTTTGTCCTTGAAATTTCACCGCAACAAAGGAGTTTCTTGGCCATTGGCGTTGCGTGCGAGTATCCTTGAGTCTCACTAGTGCCAGTAAGCTCGTGTATAGCGAAAAACATTCCCACTGAATATCGTTGCACAGCTCCTTTAAGCTTGCCCGATAAAAGCCGCACGCTGTGCTTAAATACAAGTATAGCGGCACTCTTCGCACGAGCCAGTGGGCCCTTTTTCAAAAGTCCATCGAGCAACATTGGCAGTCCCCATTGCTTAGGCTAGATGGCGCAAGCTACCGCCCGTTACAAGGGGTACATCCATTAGCATCTATCCATCCATCCATCCATCCATGGCTCACGAAGCGCGCAATTGGATACGAGTCCTCGCCGAACGCGCACGAAACCCCTCGTGTCCAATACGTGCTCAAAGTATGTGATCGAGCAATGGGGGAGAAGGCGCTGGCGCGGACCTTTTAGAAGTGTCTATTGCAGACTTGTACACGGTACTCGTTTACGAGTAATCAAATTACTTGCAATGAATTACTTTTTGGAGTAATTTCGTAATAATTTGCATACATATAATTCAAAAGTAATCGCGAGAGTTGTCCGATTACTTTTTTTTTAATTACTAAAGTTACTGGTAACCGTTTCTGTTTTCACCCTCTCCTTCTCAAAGGCGTCCTTTGTACGTGTTGCCTACCGAGGAATTATCGAATCGAGTCTCGACAGGAGGATGATATACCAAAATTGGTGAATTAGGGAGATAAGTAACTTATCATGGGGTGATTCTGATCCCATAATGGACGATACAAGAGACAGGTCCGTAAACTGGGATAAAAATATGTCGTCCTGAAAAATCTGACGTAATCCGAAAAGTGCCGGCTACTTTATCGAGTGACAGCCAATTACCTTTCTTCTCAAGTAATCAACAATGCAAATGAATACATTTTAACCCAGAGTAATTGTAATTGTTATCGATTACATTTTTGTTTTCGAGTAGCCCGTACAAGATTGACCAATTGGCATGGCAGTGCAAGATTTGTTTTAGCCATCGTGGAGGTGCCATTGGGCTCGAATGAAATGCGAACAGCGACGGAACTTACAGAGCCCACTACAGGCGCAGCTTCCAAGCTTGACAAGTGCCTGCGGAGGTTGAAACACATTTCAAACAAATCGGGGTAGGGTGCCGCGAGGTTGTGCGTCCACTCCGATGTGTTTGAACCTCGCCAAGCACCTTGGGAGCTGCGCCCGTAGTGGGCTCCAACTTCCGTCACCATTAGCATTTCATTCGAACCCGATGGTACATATACCACTTAGCTGCATAGTTAACTGTAAAAACTCCGCTGTCGTTTTTCAAAACGTTAACTCTATACTATAGTCCTGTTTCTTACGAGCAGTTTCATTTTATTGCCTGAAATCCAGCATGTTCCCTCAGGGCGATTTAGAGACTCGAGTCACTGCCTAACGGCGTGCGTTCGCTAACTGTTCCTACCACATCATCCAGTTCAAGTCTGGGGGTGTTCGGCCGGCCCGGCAAGCTGCACATGAAGGGTCGAACGGTCAACAATGCACAAGTTTACTCTGCAATGGGCACGGAGTAATGCGGAGCGCAAGTTCGTCTGCTTCTTTTACAGGGGTTGTGGTGACGTCAGAACGTTCAGCTCTGATTAGTTCTGATTGAAGGATGGTGGTTAGACCTCAAAGCGCTTGAGGTCTACGCACCATCCTTCAATCAGAGCCAACCAGAGCTCGTCGTTCTGACCTCACCACACCCCGCTGCAAAGGAAGCAGACGAACTTGCGCTCCGGATAACGATCGCGAAGTTTTGAAAGTATGACGAAAACGTGAAAAAGACTGAGCGTTTGCATCGTTGTATTTAACGCAGCAAGCGGTTCGGGTTCTCCATATTCAATTGATCGGCAAGAGCTAGACGCCTTCAGATCATTAAAGGACGACCAGAAGAGAGAGAAAGAGAGAAAGAAAAGAGAACACACCGGCTACACCAATCGCACACAGGAGAAAGCCCTTGATACCTATCTAGCAACTTTAGAGAAATCGCGGTATGGCGGCGCAATGACTGCGTTATTCGTTGAGTCTGTCATAGCAAACTCATAAAGAAGACGAGCGCCATCACGACGCACTTTTTGGCGCTCATTGCTCTGTTCCATCGCATCGCAGTGTCGATAGCACTTATTCTGAAACAAAATATAGGGCCACATAAAAAAGAACTTCTATATTTTAATTCTTTCATCAGAAACGCGACATTCCGCCGGTTAAACTAAAAACACGATCGCAGTATTTTTTTTTTTTTTTTCGCCTTGAGACATTGTGTTTTTAATCTCAGTTTCGGTTTGTTGCTTGAAACCAGGGTGTCGAACCGAAACCTATTTCGGTTCGGTTCAGGTTACAGTTAAAATAGTTCGGTTCAAATTGAACTCCGGGACAAAAAAAAAAAAAGGAAAAAAAAAAAAAAAGAACGGCTTTAACCGGTTTAAACCGGTTCGTATGGTTTCATATAACGGTTCGAGGAAAAGTGAAAAATTTAACCGACGATTTGCACACCTCTACTGCCATGAAGGGGATTACTGCGGTATCAAATAAGCGTTAATTTATTACTTTTATGTAATCCGTCTGTCCATTAGAATGATCTGCAAAAGTTCAAGACGTGACGTGTGACTGGATACCAACGTTTTATTCACCCAAACACAAAATTAAATGTACCTACTGCAAGAATGGACGAGTGCATCTCCAAACATTGTTAGATGCACAGGCAATAGTGATTTTACTGATGTGTACTCTCTCCTTTGGCCTCGTGAAACCACCGGAGGAAAAGGACATCATGTAGTATGTCCGGGCTCAGTCGCGTTCGTCGGCATGATAGAATGTCTTTTAACCCCGAAAGAACCTTTTTTTCAAATTGGCGGCAAGGAGGATGCCGAAGCCCCGCGCCGGCGCAGTGTTTCTTCCGCAACGTTTTCCACAACAAACCTTTCGCGTTGGCATTTTTAACTACACTTATTTTTAACATTATGTTCTTTTTCGACCGTTGCATGTGTGGCTGCCTTAACTAAAAAAAAAATAAATAAATAAAGTAATCCACAGTGCATCTTTTGCATTGGCACAGCAATTTGAAAATAATTACAATATTTTATATTTAAACTTTTGGCGAGAATTGTTTCGTACAATATTTTCCCACCAAAGGGAGAGGCACAACGGCGCATGCGCGTCAGTTTTCTTCCAAGAACGACGGTCGCTTCCCGCAATGCTTGGATAGATCATAGATCATGGCGTACCATTTCGATTCACACAATTACTAGCGACCTCCGCACTTCCCCGTGCCCCATTCTTCGGCAGCAGCGCCAGTTGCGGAGGGAATTTTACGACAGTGTGAAATGCGGGACATTTGGTAGATTTGGGACTTTCTCGGGCGGGACGCGGGACACGAGTCCTCAATGCGGGACAGTCGCGCGAGTCGCGGGACGGGTGGTCACCCTATGCCGAACATTTCAGTTCGGGTTCTGTTCCGATTTAGGCAAAATAAGCGGTTCAGTTCCGGTTACGGTCCGACACCCTGCTCGAAACCGCCTCTAGATGCCACGATCAGGTAAAACCAAAAGGAAGCGAGGCGTAAGATGTTTAGACAGCGTGAAGTAGGTCTGGTGTCCTGTGAGGTTGTTGTAAGTTTATTCTCTTTTGTTTACTTTTTTCTCATTTCAGACCATGGAATCGGTGACAGGAGAGCAAGAAGACATCGAGTTGAAACTCGAAGATATTAGGAACACCATCCGCAAAGCCGAGGTAGGTCAAATGAAAACGAGGCAGATTTATGTGTAAGAATAACACACACACACAAGCACAAAAAAAAAAAAAAAGGGGGGGGGGGGCGAGTAAAAAAAGACTATCGTCTTTTCTGACGGCATTTATTGTAATGTACCGAAGAAAAGAAAAGGTTTTTTGCCTAATATATTGTTTTTCTAAATGCCCTTCCATTCTGGGTGATGGATTGATTTACGCGAGATAGTACTTTCGGATGAGTGCATATCAATGCGGAGCGCAAGTTCGTCTGCTTCTTGCACAGGGTTTTCAATGATGTCAGAATGCCGAGCTCTTATTGGCTGATGGAAAAGAAAATATATAGTGGGTAGACCTCGAGGCATCTAACATAGAGGTCTACTCACTATCCTTTCCACCACAGCCAATCAGAGCTCGGTGTTGTTCTGACGTCATCGCACCCCCCTGCTCAAGGAGCAGACGACCTGCTTTCCGCATATCACTAGATTCATCCGTGAAAATTAGATTGATATAATATATTACATGACGGACCTTGCAGCTCAAATCAAAATGCAATAAAAAAAAAAAAACGCATCTATTTTAGGTGTGACAGTGTAATACCGCAAAATACTAATCGCGGTTGAATATCTAACGTGGTAAAACATGTCACCAGTTTTATTCGAGTATAAAAATTAATGAGATTTCTTTTTATCGTCAAGTTTTGAGAAGTAAACTTGTATCCACCGTATTTAAATTTAAGCCCATAACTTTGCATTCGTTTGAGGTATCACTATCCGTTCTTTGTTAGTAGGTGTTAGTTTTCCATTCAGTTTTCTATTCATTTGAAAGTTATATTGAAATCTGAATGGTGAACAGCAGCAACACATTCGGTCTTCGTGCAATGGATTGCGTTTATCGAAGACAGCGTATCGCATTTGTTTGTTTCATGTTCATTCCATTTTGCTGGGACCTCCTCTCCCCCCTCCATGGCTACGCGCTACGCGCTACTTTGCTTTTGGGAAGGGGAAGAATGAAAACAGGAGGTGGAAAAGGAGGAGGTGGGAGAGCCAGTTATAGTGTGCCGCGCTGCGGAAAGATGGCAGCAGCTGTCTGACAATGATGCCCGCGCTGCCTGGGCGCGTGTTCGAGTGCCCAACAGCATGCGACTACCGTTCTCGGTTTTTTCTTCTACTCCGTCGGCAACGATGAGGCTCTGGAATGTCACAATAGAAAGAATATCATTATATGTATTTATTTATGTATTTACTTATTTCTCTATCAAAGAATATTGCCGTTGATGTACTAGGTCTTCTGTAGCGACCGGTTCAAAAGAGAAACCTTTCGGAACCTGAGTATTCCGAAACGTTTCCTAGAGTAATATTGTTTGATATATATTACTCGCCGGTGTTCACTTATTCGTGTATGTATTCAAGCGATCCTGCATAGCTCAAACGCGTTACGGCAGGGGAGTGGCCAGAATACGGGACATTCCGCAGGAAATATATTCTGGACACAAATAAAGATTATTAATATTAATATTATTATTATTACGCAAGTAGAAATCATTAATAAACATAACTATCGGGGGAAAAGAAACAGTTGATATCGCGTAACATCAGAGAGAAATCAATATTCACGTTCGTCCAATAAACATTAAACACGCACGCACGCACACACGCGCGCACACACACTTACAGACAAACACACACAAGTTATTCTACGAAAGCATTGAAACAATATTACTGGAAAGCAGATTTTATTAATCCACTGCACGTGAAAATTCCGAGTATTTGAAAGCGTCAGTTAAACAGGTAAATGGTGCAATTTTTGCGAGCGTGATCCAATTTTTGTGAAGTATGATATAATGGGCGCGTACACGAAAACCTACCTTTGTCCATTGTTGGTTCGCTCGAGCACTGGTTATCCGTCAGTCGTACCCCACAAGACATTTCCCGCTGGAAGAAGTCGGGCTAAATGGAAAGCCAAATAATGGAAAGTAGAAAACTATCCAGACGATGACAGCTTAGGAAGTTAGGGGCGTGGCCTTTCGTGTTCTCGCTCCGTGATTGGTTTCTCGTCGTTCTTATTCGCCAATGCCGCAATCTGACTGGCCAAGGAGTGATAATGAGATGCAGGGGGGGGTCTCACCACACCGTCCGTTTCTTAAGTTGTTCGATGACTATATATCGGAGGCATATTTGATGTGTTCTCCGTTTATGTTTGTTGGTTGTCTTCCTCGTGGGTACATAGAGACCTTTAGGTATTTTTGTTACCACAACTTTACTTATTTTTTCTTTCTTTTTGTAGCAAGGAGGACTTTATGAAGTTATTCAGTGTATACGCAATTAACCATAAACCACGTAGATTCATTCTGTTTGTTCTGTGTGTGTGTGCGCGTGTGCGTGCCTGTATAAGCAGTATTTGCTTTTCTTTCTTCAAAATGACAGAAATAGCGTGCGCATTGGCGAAAGAAAAAAAACAACAAAAAGATTGGCAGCGACCTTTATTTTTAAAGTCCTACGATGCGTGAAATGCATTATAGGGAATTAGTGAGTGAATTGGTGTCACGTGACGTATATTTTCCCGCTAAATGTAGCGGGGAAACTGAAGGGTTGTATAGTTCACGTGACGTCATGTTCCCCCTTCTAAATTTAGCGGGAAAACTGTATTGTGTCTAGGTCACAAGACGTGAATTTTTTCCCTAAATTCAGCGGGTAACTGAAATGCTGTATAGGTCACGTGGCGCCAATTTTTCCGCTAAATTTAGCGGAAAATTCAATGACGGACGAACGGACAAAAGTTTGGGATTGGGAGGGTAGCGTAAAATGCATATCATATGCTTTAAAATAGGCGTACGATATTTGAAACCTCACTCGGACATAAGAAATGTTGCTATAACGGGTCTGAGTTTGAAAGTGCTCCATCAACGACAAAAGAGAAGTGAACCGCTGGAAACAGCCGGAATGCTTGTCGTTTTTGAAGAACAATAACGTCTGTTTGTTGAGTAGCGAGCTATATAGGACGCGTGCCGCGTTTTCATAGATAGCTACGACAGATGTCGGAGCAGATATTGTCCCCGCTTAGATGTCGAAAGCCATCTGCCATACGTTGAAGTCGGAGAATGGCATTCCTTTTACTCCTTTTTTCCCCCTTTTGCTTTCCTAAATCAGGGAAGGCGGAGAGAGAAAGAAGCGGGGACAGACCGCCCTTGACAGATCATAACCCCTAAACCGAAGACGACCGTTATATATATATATATATATATATATATATATATATATATATATATATATATATATATATATATATATATATATATATATATATATATATATATATATATATATATATATATATATATATATATATATATATATATATGGGGCTGTCGCGATCATGACAACTCGACTATTGCTATTGAAAAAGGAAGAAATGCTACATATTTTTAAGTACTTTGTTTTTCAAGAGATATGTGATATGTTTTATATGTAGCAGTGAAGTCAGTTTGGAGCGTTTGAAAAATTTTTAAAAAGAAGAGCGTTTATTTCTTTTTTTTTTTCCTTCGTCGCGTTTCATGGCTTTGTCAAAGTTAAAGTTTGTACTTTTGTATAGACTTTCTCCTCCTAGTCTAAACAACAAATCAGCTTGATTAGGTTTTTATTGTCGTTGCTGTTGTTCAACGTGTCTCTAGTATTGCCTTTGATTTCACTCGGTGGCTCAATGTCCGGAGCGATCTTTCCGTCCTAACATTGAACACATGAAAGCTAACCTAACTGACAGCTAGAAAACAAGCAAGCCCATAACCCTTCGCCCCCTCCCCCCCCTCCCCCCTTCCCCCCCACACACACAAAAGAAGAAAAAAAAAGAAGACATGTTGACGAGGGCCGTTAGGCATTAGATGGTCGTACAGAACCTAGGGAGCCTTCACGTGCGCTTTGAAGGCACTCTAACAGAACCCTTTGTTGTACACAACTCCCAGTGTCCCTTGCTTTCGTTTTTGTTTTGTTTTCATGGAGCAACTTTCAAGGGCTTTGCTTTTCAGTGAGCCTTATTATACAGCTTATGCTATATAAACACGAAGAAAAATATAACAACATACACCAAGATTGCCTTGTTAGAGTCGCATTATTCTCCGAGGTTTATCGCGGTACACTGGTCGCGGATGATTACATTAATGGTACTGGCTATACTTTTTTTTCGGGCGTTAGTTGGCTTGCTGTGATGCACGCGTCACAACACCCGTGCATGCGCAAGTGCCTATGCTTGTGTATATGTGCTCGAGTTTGTGATGCGGGTGGTTGTGTGGTCACAGTAGTAGTAGCAATAGCAATAATAATAGTAGTAGTAGTAGTAATGGTATAAGTGCGCTTTCGTTGACGTCATTTTGTCCACCATTTTGTTGTTAGGAGCAGCCTGGTGCGTGCCAAAGACGGCGTTTGAAAGACTCATTTGGCACCATCGTTCATACATAGTGCACTGGGGCCTATACATTTCGTCACGGAACATGTAACAACAAAATGGCGGATTGACGTTACTTGAAAACACCCTTGTACTAGCAGTGTACAAAGGTACACAGTGCCAGAATTGCGTCTGCAACTGGCGTATAGGGCCTTATTCCAGAGTGCCATCGTAGCGCAACAAAATCCGTCACACGGGTGTTCGTGTAACACTATTCGCGAAAAAGTGCTCCTCTTTTCACCCAAGGGAGCAGCAAGGCATGTTGATTCCGTATAAGTAAATTTCAGGAAGTACCACAATTAGTCCTCGGCGGTAAAACGTTTTAAGTACGTGCTACTTACTGCGGGTCCTAATTAACGAGGGAAAACACAAGCCAACCGGATGCGACAAACTCCCACCTGTAGTTCCGTCATGGTTGTTTTTGTTTGTTTCCGAACACCTTGTATGCACTAGAACAGGAAACTGCCGTATCCACAACAAGGATCGCTGCGAATCGCAGCATTGTGCCAATCGTTCTCTGTGTCCTTCGTTCTAAACCCATGATCAGGTCGACACAGTTTATTTCGACATGTCAAAGGCTTTCGCACGGGGTTAACCATAAGCTGGTTCTGCACAAGCTTTTTACATGGTATTTACTCTATGCTTATTAGAGTAGTTTGCGAATTTTGAACAGCTTCTTAGAACACTTTGTTTCCTCGTCCGGTGTCCCCCAGAGATTAATTTGGAACCACTATTGCTAATTTTTTTAATGATGATATCGAAATGTGCATAAAAAAATCCGAGTTGTTGTTATTCGCTGATGACTTCAGACTCTTCACGCGTGACGGTCACTCGCTGACCGTGCATGTTTACAGGACGATCTGTCACGTGTGCATGAGTGGTGTTTATCCAATCATTTAAGGATCAATCCTAATAAAGCCAGGGCGTTATCAATGTATAGAACACGGACCCGATTTCTAACGACTACGTTCTCGGTACCGCTCCCGTTTTACACGTCACCACAGCTCGTAACCGTGGTGTTTATTTTTATAGCCACCTCTCTTTTGCTTTTTGTATTGCAGATTGTTAGCTCTGCTTTTAAATTGCTGGGCATCGTTTATGGTTTTATGAGGGAGTTCATGAATCCCTTGTGTGTTATTCGTCCTTTTCTGGAGCCTCATTTGTTCCAGGATTGAGTTCGCCAGTGTTGTTTGGAACTATCTTACGCTATCCGAATCAGAACAAATGGAACATGTTCAGAAGAGGCTAATTTATGGTCGGTATTTCCATCGAAAGTGTTTTTATGATTATGCCTACATTCTTAAAAATCTCAACTTAAAAAAAACTCTATCAAGCAGAAGAAGCATGCGTGACGTGTTATTTTTAAATAGAATTATTCACGGCCAACTTGATTGTGCTATGTTATGTTGTGTGAATTTCCACACACCTATCCATGTTAGCAGACATGCCTATCCATTTTATCTTTTTCATCAGGAGAAGCTATATGTCCCATTACCCGCGTGCAACTTACTTTTAATGACATGTCCACCAACACTGTGGATATTTTTGTTAATTACGAACATCTTTGAGCGAAAAATTGAGTCACTCTTGTACGCATAGCTACCATATCGTTTGTAGACCTTTTTTATGAGACTGTATGCGCTGATGTATGCATGTTGTTATGACTGTGTAGCTGTTTGTAAGCCTGCTACATTTTGTACTTAAGTGCCTCATACAGAGACTTCGGTCGTTTTGAGGCACGGAGAACCAAATAAATAAATAAATCACGCAATTGTGACGTCGCTATGTTGAAATCGAGAAGACAAACTGAGGGCGCGGTAAACGCAACAGCCGTAGTCATCTGTTCCTTGTCAAGCGAAATCAAAAGTGTAACGTCACTTGTGGCCCAACTTCGTGACAATTTTTGGTGTTTTTGTTTTGTTTCAGACCAGTAAACTGAAGGCTGAAGCCCGCCTCGAAGCGTTGCGGGAAGGTGGCGGTAAGTTTGCTGATCCGCCCATTTTCAGTCTCTTGTCACCCAACTAGTAGGCCTCAACACTTGGATAATCCAATGATTCCGTTGAAACTTTTTTTATCATTGTTACTAACATTTATGAATAATTGCCAAGAGTAAAGTCAAATATTTTAGTATTTTGTGTGTACCTTTACAGTTGGCAGGCGGTAACCTCTGATAGATTTCCTTCACCAGTCTGACCCTGATATATATATCCCTTCTCCACTCGGATGTTAACTCTATCCCTGACTGGTGTAACACGTGGTTCGTGAAATGAAATACTGCTAAATACAGATGCATGTCTGTGTCACGTTGTAACACGTACTTCATTCATAACATTGCTCTTAAATTTGAGTCTCCTTACAACTATCTTGGACTTGTCCTGGAAAACTTATGTGGAATATACTATGCTACTCGCTTTCTTGTGTACCTTAAGATGCTTTTTTTTCTTGCACCTACGTCTTTGAAACTACTCCTGTGCAAAACCCTTGTTCGTAGCAAGCTGGAATATGCTACATTTATCTTGGACCCCAGTATGGACTCACTCATTTCAGAATTGACATTTGTTCAGAATTGCGCGTCCCGCTTTATTTTTGTAACCACTGTACCGCCAGCGTAGACCGCAATGAAAACCAGCTTATCGTTACCAATTCTTTCTCTTCGTAGAAAAGTCTCCAGCGTATGTTTGTTCCATAAATATATCTTTACAACTTATTTTTAAAGCAAAGGTCAGTAACGCAACCCTAGTACCTATCAGCGCGCAACGATCCTAGATACAAAGTTGGCATTCCATCCTGCCGGACAAACGCATACTATATCATTCTTTTATTCCTAACGCCTCTTTGAATTGGAACCACCCTTCCATAACTTTTGCCGAAATTATTGAAACTAACAGTTTTAGAAATGCCGTGAGTGTCCTGTATTGCTTCAATGAGGGGCCTAAATTAGTGTTCCGGTTCTTGTTGTGTGTTTTTTCTCTGTATTTCTAAAACAGGCCACTCCCCTCTGTAACGCCTTTGGCCCCGATAATAAATAAATAAATAAATATCACTGCCACAGACAAGGCGGCGGGACAGGATTATTAAGATTATTTGAGGGGTCAGTTAAGCTAGAAAAAAGACACAATTAACATTTAAATGTATATGACCTAATCCAACATATTAAAGACAAAACAGTGTCGAAGATTTTACAATGAATGAGAAGAAAAGTATAATCGGCACTTATGGAGCTCGACAGTTAGCGTAAGGGGGCAATTACCGGGTATTCTTGGTTTTTGTTCTTTTTTTATTATCGAGAGCTGAAACGCCACCATTCAAACTGCCAGTGTGGTCACATCCGCCCATCTTGAAAAATGCCCAACCATCTAAAAGTTAGGAATATTCGTCGATATTCCTTTGCGAGCAAATCTAAAATATCGCCGAGGTCATGTTAGCACTAAGAGTGCCCCGCACTGTACAAGGTCACTCACTGCGACTCGGGAGTTGAATTCTGCCCGCACCTGGGTGGAAACGAATCATGCGTTCTTTATTCTGCAATGTTTAGCATGATGTTAATTTTTCGTTGCATCTCGTTATTTATATTATGGAAATTGATTGCACAAGTGCCTTTTTCGGGCAATCTCTCGTCGTGAATGATCTTACGCCGCATTATTCATTGTGCACAGTTTCTCAAAAAATTGTAGTTCAAAAATAGCACAGCCTATCTATTATATGAACTTGAAGTTCCGGTCCCAAAACGCGGGAACAAACTCTTCGCTTCATCGAATAAAGAAATTGATGGCCATAACACCAGAGCACAACCTTGATTGATACGTCGTCTGCTTCATCCTAATAACAAACGTGTTCTCAACAAACGAGCGCTCCAGTCAAAGCCGCTAACACAAAGTCCGTGTCTTGCGGTAAACGTGAAACAAAAAAGAAGAAGAAATGTTAATTAAACAGTAATACAGAAGAAGAGGGGAAAGTCTCGAAACTTGGAAGAAAGCGAGTTCCCGTTTTTGCCGGGTCTCCCCCCTACAGCGAGGCGCAGCGAAGCGTAAGCGTAGAAAAGATTCCGGGTCGCGGTGGGAACAATTAAGCTCGGTCATATTTCACTTCCATTGCCATCCGACTTTCGACTACTTTCTTCCACTTCCTACGGTAAGTTTATTCGGCTTTTCTCGTTTTAAATATATAAATTGTCTCCAGCTGTGTTAGGGCGCTGTGGGACGTTTTTCGAGTTTTCAACGAACGAACTCTCTTGTTGCCTGTCTTCGTATACACCTTCGTAATTTGCGAAGAGACTAGCGGCTTCCCTCGTTTGTTTAAAATAGAAGTCCGTCGGGAACTAGTGATGAGTGTGGATGGAAGAGGGCGTCCTTGCCTCGGTCATGGTAGGATTGATATTCGGAGAGAGTTTAACCTTATTTACAGATGGGGTTTATCGTATTTACAGCCAGGGTGCTGTCGATAGTGTTCCATTGTCATTACTGAGAGCTTGAGAAACACCGGATATCGCGACTCCGGTGGAATATATTATCGCTCCTCCGATCATTAGCCAATAAGAGTATTAAAGAAGGACTCAAGACCCATCGACATAATAAACACGCCAGGCGGTTTTGTTGGTTTCTTTTTCTATAAGCTCAGTGACATTTGCACGCGTTCCTTGACTGAACCTGAAATACATGCCTGAAATACATGAAATACATTTTTTTCTTTAAGAAATATACTTATGCAGTGAGTTTATAAATTGTCTTTTCATCTATATTCAGCGATAGCTTCAGAAGCGCAGCTAGTGACCTATTTATGTTGGTATGTGCTTCGTTATTTATGATTCATTGATCGGCATTCTTATCGGATAAAGCTGCAGTCTCACTGAATGTACTGAGGATTGGTGTGGAACCCAAACCGCGCGACTGTGATCCCCGAATTTCTACTGTGAATCAAAACGGATGTTTCGTCTTTTGTCAGAGTTAGAACTATACACCTACTCATCACACTAGCTTCGCAAAAACCCCATTTTATTTTCTTCGTTTTTTTTTTTTTTTTTTTGTTTTAAACTTGTCTTATGGGTTCGTGTCTATTTCTAAATGATAACTATATTTTGGTCCATTAACGTACCTGACCTGAGTGTTAGCCGGGTGTTTGTTTGTTTCTGTCTGAGGCTGTTGATATTATATATAGCTGATCTCTACCAAAATAGCGAATCTTGTAACACTTTTAATACATATGGAACGTTTCTTTTTAACCCTATAAGCGCTCCAGAAAGCCTATCGCCCCAATCTACGGAAGGGGGCCGGCGAACAACAAAACTAAATATATTTTGACCTTAAAAAAAGTAAAAAATAAAAAATAAAATACAGTCCGCGCTCAGCCAGCAAGGTGAAACATCATATGGCATAGCCTCCTTTATTCTAGAAAGTCTGTCAATTCCGCGACGGAGACATTGAGCGCCCGGCCACCGGAGAAATGGCATGGAGCAGCGCCGAACGGTTACGGATATGGTAGCACAGAGAGCCACTTCTGGGGTGATTCCTCAGTCAGCGCCAAAAATACGCGCGGGGGTGGCATGTCCGCGAAAAAAAAAAACGAACCGTAACGGAAAAAAAAAGAAAAAAAAAAGGCTACCGGCGTATACAGGAACGGGAGAGAAACGGTATAGTAAAGAATCAACAAAAAATTGTCTACACTTAAAAAAAAAAAAAAAAGAAAAACGAGCGTTTGTGTTTTCGGATTTTCCCGCTGGGGCATTGTTTGGCGCTGCCCGAGGGAACTCCTTCGCCTTGTGCACAGTGTTGTACACGTTCCTAAAAAAAGGAATGGAAGCTCGTTCCTCGTTCCTTTTGATTTTTAGAACGCGTTCCCGTTACAAGTTCCATCTGCGAGAAAGGAGCTCGTTCCCGTCACAGTTTAAAAATGGAACGTATCGTTATAGATATACGTTACATCTGTATTTTGCTAATTACAATATTTAGCTGAATCAAACCAATTTTTTTATCTATCCCATCGAATGGCAACATACGAATTTGAATGTGGGGATGGAAGGACACCAGCAGAAGAAAACAAGCGGAAGCGAGGTTGCATTTGTTGATATATTTACTTTTAAAAATCTCAGCGTTTTACCATATACATGTTTGTTATTGGCTATGCAGACGAGACAAATGTACTGTTACTTCACACTGCACGAGCGTTTTACAACAACCTTACACGTTTCGATCTAACAAAGTCCCGTGTTCTAACTTAACAACAGTTGCTTCTCGATTCTGCTGTGAGCAAGACGAGCAAGTGGAGAAGAAGGTAGGGCTTTTTGAAGGTCAGTCGCGAAAACTACCAGTCCCTCTTCGTGAAGGTTGGGCACGTTGTTCAGTTTGAAGGTGGGAGCAGAGGAGAGGGAAGGAAGGTTAATTTCTGTCCATCTGGCCAATGTTTGGGATACACGTTTGATGTCTAGTAACCTGTTCTTTTTAGTGTAACTGGTTTCTTTGTAGAAGTTCCGTGATGGCTGCGGTCGGCGTTAGAATTCTGGGTGTATGAGGGTTTGTTGAAGTAAAGAAAGTAGGTGGGTTTGAGACGCCCCTTTTTCTGTCTTCTCCTTCAACTAAATGTTTTAATTTCTGTACCGCAGTCTCGGGCACTGAAAAGAGAATCAGTGCTCACTAGCTCTCCTGCACCCTACACTTACCAAGCGAGGACCCCACAAAATATACTCTAAGTAAAAAAAAAGAAGAAAAAAACAAAACTTAACGAGATTCTTTTTTTTAAATATATTGTTTTTGTACTTTTCTTTAGAATTCCCCTCTTATAAATAAAATAAAAATGACCCTACCGGACGAAGAAAAGAGAACGCCGTTCCATCTTTCGTTCCCGTAAAACTGTAACGAGTTTCCGTTCCAGTTACATCGATGCAAAATTGAACGGCGGCGTTGCTTCGTTCCTCCTAAAAGGAAGGCGTTCTATAGGAAAGCCGTTCCTTGGAACGCCGTTCGGTACAACACTGTTTGTGCACGA